TGGTGTTGGAGCTTACAGAGAGAGGTAAAGTCACTCCCCCCCACCAATGTGGCATGGTTCAGCCTTAGCAGTTGGCTACCAGGCCTGAACACTACATCATGGAAGGTCACATAGTTGCCCCATAGTTTCCTGCAGAATCAGCTGGTCCCCCTGAGTGCTGGCCCTGATATCCTGTTTTAGGGTGTCTCCTTTCCTTTGCAGGGTCCTATGGAGCCACTCTTGTGTGTGCTAGTAAGCTGTGTGTGTCTACACAAACATCAGACACAGCAAGACAAGACACTGCCCTCTCATCTGCTGCCTGCTTTTTCTTCCTTCCTTCTCTCTTCACCAGACTAGTAGATGGACAGCTGCTGCTGCTGAATTTTTTATTCTTAATTCTCAAGATGTTTATAATATTCACAGCATTAACAGTAGGTATAGGGCTTATATACTAAGAGTTTCCAAGCAACCAATAGCTCTGCTGAAACCAGATCACTACAAGATGCATACTGTCTGGTTGCTATGAGTTACTGCAATTAATAGGGATTGCATTAAAAACTCCATATTATGTAAGGATATATACTGGGAAGAATTTAAACCTTTTGATGCAAACATGTCAAATCAACCTTTAACCCATGGAAACTTCAGTAATGATCTTTCACTATTATCTCCTTATTCAATTAAAATCTGATTATTATGGGTTATGGGACCTAGCACCTCACCTTATTAAATATGCATGATGATTTTATGCCAGGCAAACCTTTTGGGGTTTTTTTTTAAATGCTGTGCACCTCTTATGTTGCAGGCCTCCAATCAGATTAGGAGAATCAGTGGGTTGGAAGATCTGAAAAGATTACAATGTCTGGACCTCTCATCTAACCAGCTATCCAGTCTCGAAGGCCTAGAGGGTCTGGAACTTGTGCAGACGCTCAACCTGGAAGACAATGAAGTATGTGACCTGTCTTGCTCTTGTGGTGCCCTTATAATCTAAAGTTTAAATTGGCTTTGCTTTTAATAAATTCCCCAAACAACTTTTGTCCTCAACCCCTGTGACCCTTGTGAAACAGCTGCTTTTAGATGCACACAGGGGCAGGGAACATAGCGGGAGACGGTTTTAAAAATGTTATTCAAAGCAATAGACATTTGCTGGTCTGTTAGGCTGAGCAAAAAGAATGAGCGATAGAACCAAGTTGGTTGCCATAGACAATACCATAGTATTTATCTGTATATATTCTTATATGCCTCTCAAAATATCTTAACAGGCCTAGACAGTTTGTTGGTGGCTTTTAAAACATATTTTACACACACACACGCACACACACGCACACAATTGTGTATATTAATATTTTGGCTGTGTTAAGTCTCATTCATATGGCAGAAATGTGCCAGCTCAGGCAAGAATCTTGTGGATTCCTGCAACTGGATTCACAGGTGTATGTGTATAGTTGGAGCTGCTGAGCCTGTACAAAGCAATGACAGGCTGTCTGCGGCCGGAGCTGCCCACTGCTTTTTGGATGTAATTGCATATGGAGTGATTAGCTGTCTTAGGAGCAGATGATCACTCCTGGGCGCATTGGCGGATCTAAAGGTGCCCATACATCTTACAATTATCTGCAGATTTTCCGTGGTCAGATGGAAAAAGTGCAACAGATTGGCCCAGGTGGTGATTTCTCCATCCACACAGTTAAATGTAGATGGAGGAATCTGTTGCACCTTTTCCATCTGACCACAGAAAATCGGCAGATAATTGTGAAGGTGGCCATACACTTTACAACCCCCGCAAGACTTTTGTCTTGCGAGGGTTGTAAAGTAGTTAAAAGCTCGTACGATCTGCCCATCTTGGACAGGCACATTGTACTTGCGATCATCGCAAGCCGACCCCCCTGAGGGGCGGGCTTCCAATGACTGCAATGCTGAACGGGCAGTATGTGCGTGCGCACACCGGCCCGTTCGGCAGTGATCTCTCGAGCATGATTCAAACCAGCCGAAAATCGTACGATTCTCGGCTGGTTTTCGAACATGCTCGAAATACAAAAGTCGTGGGACCGCACAGTAGGAACGGTCGCACGCCTTCCATACGCTGCACGATTCTCGTACGATACAGAGGAGCTTACAGTCTAATGCAGAATGGCATCGGCTGTAAGGAGACTACAAATCCCAGCAATCCATTATACTGCAATGCAGAACAGTATATAAATTGGACTCTGGACATAGCAACACACCTGAGACCTCGACCAGCCCACCATAGGTCCTGCACAGTCCACGGAGACTCTCTATGGTGGTCTCTGCACGGTCTCAGGTGGGCTGGTTGGGGTCCCTTTCCCTGCACATGCAGCTCCTTACCTGCTGCTGTTGGCCTCCGTAGCAGCTGGGGCCCGGCCTCCTCCACCTCCTCCGCTGTCAGTGGGCCCCCCCGGCTTTGGGCCCTAGGACGGCCGCACCAGCTGCAACACCAGTAGTTCCGCCCCTGTCTGGACGCAAGATCTTTGCATGCGAGTCCAGCCGCTGGACTCTGCTCGATTCTTGCCACGTCTGGCACACTTTTGCTGTGTGAATGAGGCCTTAAAGTAAACTTGTCATATGGGCGCTGTCATGTTGAACCACCTGCTTAAGTACCACTGGCCCTGAATGTATGCATACCAGGAAAATAGGAATAGGCCAACATGGAGCCAGATAGCTAGCATTTTCAGAATGAATGGCAGCTTTTATGTTTCATTTTAGACAGGTTTAATTTACTCAAGAAGCATTCAGGGCCTTCTAATGAGTGTTTTTATATTCTTCCAAATAAATATTATGTAAACGTTTGTTTAGAAAAACATGGAAAGAGATATTGATGCCTAGCTGTATATAATATGCCACCTGTTCTTACAGATTTGTCAGATCAGTGAAATTGCTTTCATTGAAGAGCTGCCTTTGCTCCATGTTTTGAACCTTCTAAATAATCCAGTACAGGTGAGTGTCGTGTTTACAATTGATACAAATTTTCAAAGAAATGTGTGCTGAGGAAATGTGGAGTCTTCCATCTCTGACTTCATCACGAAATGTTACTTATTTGATTGTTAGGCTCTGTTCACACCTAGGCGTATCGAATATGCGCGTTTGTCGCGATTCGCGGTAAAAAAACGTGCAACAAACGCGCGTTTCCGAGGGCTACTTGGCTGTATCCCAATGGAAACGCACGACAGAAACGCTGCAAAGAAGCTTATGTACCTTTTCAGGCGTAGGCCGTTTTGTAGCGCGTTCAGACGGGCTGAAATACGGCAAGGTGTGAACCATAGCCATAGAAAACAATGGGATTTTCATGTTTGAGCGTTTTGTAGAGCGTTTGTAGAGTGTTGAACGTGCTACAAAACGTACAGGTGTGAACCAGGCCTTAGATTGAATCACGGACTTTAACATTCATTGTCCTGAAACGAGTATTCAGATTATATAACATGTAGTTTGAAATCTCTGAATTCTCAGTGGGTACATGTTTTCCGTTATTGTAATTGTTGCAACTTTATAATTTTAAATGCTTATGTATCCGATTTCCAAGAGTGTATTGAGGGGTGTCCTGAGGCCAGGTGTCACCCGGAGCGGAGCCTGAGTGACACCCCGCTGTGACGTCATCACGCATGCTCGTGACGTCACCAAGCATGCGCGATCATCTTATTGACGCATGTCAGCGGCCATCTTAGTGATGGACGCCGACAGAGATGAGGTATGCCGCCGGGTCCCCTCCTCTCTCCTGACACTGCTGGGCTCTCGGTCCATGACAGAGTGCCTGACTTTTTAGAGGGGCTGACACCAAATTGACTGTCAGCCATTTTGGTGTCACCCCTCCAATGGTTTCACCCGGGTGCAGGACGCACACCCCTTGCGACACCACTGAGTGTATTACATTGGAGATTTGAAAATGTTACCTCCATTGGCTGTGGGTATTTCACTATAATTACTTAGTCATCTTGCAACTGTTTTATTAAATTCTTAATTACAGTTGTTTTAAATCAGTGAGGCCTGACTGATTTACATTGAAACTGGGAGGGTCATTGACACCCTCCATAAGGAGGGAAAGCCTCGTAAGGTAATTGCTAAAGAAGTTGGATGTTCCCAAAGTGCTGTATCAAAGCACATTAATAGAAAGTTATGTGGAAGGGAAAAGTGTGGAAGAAAAAGGTGCACAAGCAGCAGGGATGACCGCAGCCTGGAGAGGATTGTCAGGAAAAGGCCATTCAAAAGTGTTAGGGACTTTCACAAGGAGTGGACTGAGGTTGGAGTCAGTGCATGAAGAGCCACCACACACAGACGGATCCTGGACATGGGCTTCAAATGTCGTATTCCTCTTGTCAAGCCACTCCTGAACAACAAAC